GTGGAGAGAAGCTAATATGGGAGAAATATGATCTCTCTTGCTAGTTCCTGTCAGTACTCTGGCTGCCGCATTTTGGATTAACTGGAGGCTTTTTAGGGAATTATTGGGACATCCTGATAGTAAAGAGTTACAGTAGTCCAGCCTGGAAGTAACAAATGCATGGACCAGTTTTTCAGCATCACTTTGAGACAGGATGCTCCTGATTTTTGCAATATTGCGCAGGTGAAAGAAGGCAGATCTAGAGACTTGGTTTATGTGTGATTTTGTCTTTAAGACATGTTTGAAGTTTGAGCAGCTGATTTGTTTCATCTGGGTTCATACACATATATAGCTGAGCATTATCTGCAATGGAAATTTATGCCGTTTCCTAGTAATTTTACGTAAGGGAAGCATGTATAAAGTGATGAGAATTAGACCTAGCAGTACAGTATTTGATTAGCATAACAGCAGTAATCTCAGCTGTAATTTCTGGCAATGCTATGTGGTTTAATTTCTCTGATTGCCATCTCTGCAGAAAAATGAGATGTCCAGTGAGCTGGTGGTAGAAGGTGAGGACTCTGCCCCGATGAGTGAGGTGTGCTCCAGGACTCCAATGGATGCCATTGAGGAGCTCCAGGAGGAAGAAGAGGAACAGGAGTGAACTCTGACAGCAGGAGAGGGTAAAGCCTACCTCCTTGTGGAACTTGGCTGAAGAGGAGAATGCTGAGTGTTACAATGCTGTAGATGAGCGAGGACCTGAATATGGCTTGGTTTCAGAGGTTCTCCCAGTAGAAATGAACTTCCTATAAGAGTGATGAGGTCTTTGTGTCGACCTGCACACCATTAAAACGCACACTGTAAAGAAAGCCACGCATGTCCAAATGTTCATCCATCATTGTAAATACCTTTTGTCTTCTGACTCTTGCAGCAGTTCTCAGTTTTGCGTCGTCACTTCATCACTTTGTGTTTACTGGTAAACAAGGGAAACTGACACAGGAGAACTTTTCTTCCTCAGCAGCGCGAATGAAACATCTGTACAACGGTAGTGGAGTTGCCAAAATAGTTCATTATGCTATTTTATCAAGATGAAGCAGCGAAGCCTTGCTTGAATTCAAACGCAGACATGTTGGGTTGTGCAATCATATTTTACATACAATGGTGTACAGATTACTGTTGTTTTATATAGGTAATGCCATGTGTATATTTAATTGCCAGAGGGGTCAGGAATCCCTTTTATATAGTGGACTGTTAAAATATTCAGACCCCTTCGCTTTTTGCACACGTGCTGTAGATTTCACTTTAAAATGTGTAAAACAGCACTTTTTGCCCATCTATCTACATCTAGTAACCCATAACCACAAAGTTAAAACGTGTTTTTACAACTTTTAGCAAATATATTAAAAATCAGAAACCGACATCTTGTATTTTCAAAAGAATTCAAACCCTTAATTCAGTACTATGTAGCAGCCCCTTTGGCAGCAGGGCAAAGTCTGCAAAACGTGAAGGGGTCCGAATAGTTTGAAGGGCACAGTACCAATGCGTGTGTTACAAAATACAGTTATGATTGTTCACTTTCCATGCAGCCTGGGAGTCGATCTACTTGTAATGCCACATTTTCCTGGTAGTATTCAGACTGTAGTATGTATTGTATATACTGTATAGGCATTCTTATTTGGCAAATAAATAGATTTATTATCTTTGTTGGCACTGGTGTTATGTTCTAATCATCATTTGTTTTCTTATGACCTTTATTAGAGTTAATATAAAAGAACAAGTTGTAACTTGTCACAAACTGAGCCTGCATCTTTGAAGGTGGAAAAATATGGAAATGACAAAGCATTATTACTGCAAACAAGGAAATATTTCCTGTTTTTAAACGTAATATGGGCTATGTGTGAGCATGTGCACACATTTACATTATAAGGCACTCCCTTAGCAGGGGACATGCCTTGCATTAAACCAAGCACCCCCCTTTTCCTTGCTAAACTACGTTAACCAATAGCAGAAATGTTGTAAAGTCTTTTAACCAGTTACGTGAGAAACTGAAACCAGCAAATGTTCTAAATGTTGTACCTAACCGTCTAGATGGTTCGAAGCTTACACTTATTGGTAAGACTAGGCTACAAGCCCTGTCTCAGACGAACAACCAATAGCCATTAAGAGTATAGTTTCAACAAGTAGAAGTGTGCTGCCTGGCTCGTTATCAATTTAATTAAAATAGGTTGCAATTATTTAAATCTTGCATCTAAAGTGTTCCAAAAAAAAAAAACAGGGATCTATCTTCTACACCTCCTACCCGATCTCTTCTTTGTCTTATCTTCTTCTCAGTCTCCATCTTCCATCCCTTTCTCTCATGTTGCCAGCCTGCTGGTTTCTAGGAGGACCCCACCACAAACTCACGCCATTTTATCCCTAGCCTTATACTTTACCTGTCTGAAAAGCGAATCTTCTTTGTCACTCCTCCATCTTCCAGCTCTGTTCTTCTCCATCTTCAGTTGTGGGGGAGGATGAAATCTCCCCACTTTCCGGCGGCGTCCCAGCTTTCCCTGCCGTAGGGGTTCATGGTGTACCTCGCTCAGCACATAGCATTAAGGGCCTTGCTGAAGGACCCATGACTGGCCGCGAACCCTGACCTGCCGTACCACAGTCAGCGGCATCTACCACTGTGCCATCCACCTGCTATACATGAACATCTTTGGAACTTTTACTGGCTTCTGTTATTGGTTAATGCAGCTTCGAAGGAAGGTAAAAGATGTCTGTGACGCAAGATTTAAATTGCAACCTATTGAAATTATCAATATATAATGTCAGGCTGCCCTATGGATTTGTCAGAATAACAAAACAGGCAGCACACTTGTATCTCTATGCTCTTAAAGGCTGTTTTTGTCTGAGACAGGTTGTAGCCTAGTTTACCAATAAGTTTAAGCTTCTCTTAAGCGTAAAATGTTGTGGGTAGAGCAGATGTCTGTGCTGTTTTTGGATAATGTTTAATTTATAACATTTAAGTTATTAACAACAAAACATTTTATTTAATGTTTATTTTAAATAACAGTTAACATTCTTGCAAATGGCATAATCACTGTCACCTTCACCTGCTCTAGAATCAGGGCGAGGAATTGTTCTCATCACTAAAAACTAACATTCATTCTTATTGTGCATTATTTCTAAGGCAACATGGAGGACCAAGCAAGCCTTTTCTGACTGAATACAGTGGCTGGTGGTTGGAACTGTGTCCAGTATTTGCAGCAACAATGACGTTTTCTTGCTTTCAGAACAGCTTGGTTAAAGGCAACATGTTACACTGAGTTTGACACACACACAGTCGCAAGCATACACAGATTTGTCACAAATTGCACCTCTGACACGTTAATCTTCAAACTCCCCTAATCATCATCTGGCGTGAGCTTAAACCTTACATCAGCACATCACTGATTAATTCAGCAGATTCGCTTACGACAGTAATACTTATTAAAAAAACACGGACAATTAAAAAACAATAATAACACTAAAGTACCCAAACTCCAGTGCCAACTGCAACCATCTAATCATTTTAGTGCTGTTGGCAGCTCCATTTTTTTAAAATCAGGATATTTTTTTTTAAAGGGAAAACAACAAATGTTGCCCAGAAAACATAGGCTTCTTTTTCCTGTCTAGAATCAAAATGGCAACACAGAAACTAATCTGAACTTAACTGAAATTATTCTGTAAAATTAAATACACATATCTACACAGTCAAATAGAAAACTCTGTATACAGTACAGTGTGTACAAAAGTGCGTAAACCACATCTTGTACAGGGTCTGAAATCAGCATATTTTTAAAGGAGTAGTCCAACATTTTAGGAACTATACCTTCTTACCTGAAGTTAGATGTGAAGACTGATGCCACTCATTTCACTGTAGTTAAAGGATAACTTTGGATTAACCTGCTGTACATCTCCTAAAAGTGGCTATATGCGACTCTATAGCTAGTGCTACTTTTGCTATCTTTCCCTCCATTGTAGAGATGGCCGGGCCTGCCTGCTGATCCCCTAACATCCAGTGTGTGCTAAGCTAAGCTTTTTAGCTGAACCTTCAGATTTGCCATACAGACATGAGTGGTATCTTCTCATTTAACTACCAGCAAGAAAATTAACAAGCATGTTTCTAAAAATGTCAAGCTGTTCCTTTAATTGCCCTATTTCACAATGAGGTCAGGGAGTAAATAGTGCATTGCATTCTGGGATTTTTTTTAGGGGGCTCGCTGGCAAAATGACAGCAGTAAGACAGAGCCTGTCCTCTAATATACAGTGGTGTGAAAAAGTGTTTGCCCCCTTACTGATTTCTTATCTTTTTGCATGTTTGTCACACTGTAATGTTTCAGATCGTCAAACAAATTTATATATTAGTCAAAGATAACACAAGTAAACACATCATGCAGTTTTTAAATGAAGGTTTTTATTATTAAGGGAAAACAAAATCCAAAACTACAAAGCCCTGTGTGAATAAGTGTTTGCCCCCTAAACCTAATAACTGGTTGGGCCACCCTTAGCAGCAACAACTGCAATCAAGCGTTTTCGATAACTTGCCATGAGTCTGCCACAGCGCTGTGGAGGAATTTTGGCCCACTCATCTTGGCAGAATTGTTGTAAGTCAGCCACATTGGAAGGTTTTCGGGCATGAACTGCCTTTTTAAGGTCATGCCACAGCATCTCAATTGGATTCAGGTCAGGACTTTGACTAGGCCACTCCAAAGTCTTCATTTTGTTTTTCTTCAGCCATTCAGAAGTGGACTTGCTGGTGTGCTTTGGATCATTGTCCTGCTGCAGAACCCAAGTTCGCTTCAGCTTGAGGTCACAAACGGATGGCCGGACATTCTCCTTCAGGATATTTTGGTACACAGCAGAATTCATGGTTCCACTTATCACAGCATGTCTTCCAGGGCCTGAAGCAGCAAAACAGCCCCAGACCATCACACTACCACCACCATATTTTACTGTTGGTATGATGTTCTTTTTCTGAAATGCGGTGTTACTTTTACGCCACACATAATGGGACACACACCTTCCAAAAAGTTCAACTTTTGTCTCGTCTGTCCACAGAGTATTATCCCAAAAGTCTTGGGGATCATCAAGATGTTTTCTGGCAAAACTGAGACGAGCCTTTATGTTCTTTTTGCTCAGCAGTGGTTTTCGTCTTGGAACTCTGCCATGCAAACCATTTTTGCCCAGTCTCTTTCTTATGGTGGAGTCATGAACACTCACCTTAACTGAGGCAAGTGAGGCCTGCAGTTCTTTGGATGTTGTTGTGGGGTCTTTTGTGACCTCTTGGATGAGTTGTCGCTGCGCTCTTGGGGTAATTTTGGTCGGCTGCAGTCCCCAAGCTTTAGAAATGGCTTTATAACCTTTTCCGGACTGATAGAGCTCCATTATTCTCTTTCTCATTTGTTTTTGAATTTCTTTGGATCTCGGCATGATGTCTAGCTTTTGAGGATCTTTTGGTCTACTTCACTTTGTCAGGCAGGTCCTATTTAAGTGATTTCTTGATTGCGAACAGGTGTGGCAAGAGAAATTGAACTCAGGTGCGATAAACCAGTGTTTTGACAGGGGGGCAAACACTTGTTCACACAGGGCTCTATAGTTTTGGATTTTGTTTTCCCTTAATAATAAAAACCTTCATTTAAAAACTGCATGATGTGTTTACTTGTGTTATCTTTGACTAATATATAAATTTGTTTGACGATCTGAAACATTACAGTGTGACAAACATGCAAAAAGATAAGAAATCAGTAAGGGGGCAAACACTTTTTCACACCACTGTATGTGGGCGCACTCTGTCTTACTGCTGTGACTTCACTAGCAAGACCCTCTGTCAATCCCAGAATGCAGCATGTTGTTCACGATCTGACATCACTGTGAAACAGGTCAACTGGCGTATGTTCAGTCATTGTGACTGACCTGAGGAGTGTTTTATTGTATGGCAGGAGATATCGCAACAGTGACAATCAACTCGCCTTGAGCTCCTTGTGTAGCGCTGCAGCTTCGACAACTGGCACATTGTAGTGGCGATCGTCCTCCGTAACAAGACATATGGACGGCCACTCATTCTTGTGGTCGTCTGGATAGTAGGTGACAAACTCCTCTGTGTCAGCCTTGTACAGTCTGTAAACTTGAATGGTGCACTGCAAGGCGTAGCCCAGCAGGAACATCTCCACCTGCACAAAGGGCACGGTTACAGAAAACACTCAAACTGAATATTTCCTCAAACAACACGAAGTTTAATCAGCTGTTTACTAGGGATCCGCAAAGATCTTTGAATAACAGTCATTAAAATTTTTTTTAAAAACACTGGAAAAGGTCGAATATTTCATGCAACTATGGTTTTGTCTTTAAAAACAAAGAGCCACAGTTTTCCCTCGCTTTTACTGGCATGTGGGCATGATTGTCGAATAACTGTCGAATAGTTCCCAGCGAATATTGAATAGCATGTTGCTTACGCACATATTTACAGGTGGAGTTTTCCCTATTGAAAGTGTGCCTGTAGACATGAAACCACCTACACAGAAGCTACAGCCTGAAAGCAAAGACAAAAGCACAAATGTCACCATGTTTTACCGTTCCGGTGTCAGATTATAAAACACCCAGTTTCATGACACTGAACATTAACTGCTTTTGTTTGTTGCCAAACATGATGGCTTATTCAGCAAAAATTTACTGCTGAATACAAAGGGGCAAGAAGTTTCCAGCAGGTAAGTGTTGTTTACCATAAAAGGTTTGTGTGCAGTCACAAGGCAAATGATGTGGACATCATGAAATGGGATCTGCTCTTGCAGTTCTTTTCCATCAAGTTTTCAAAACCAGTTTGACATTCTCCACATTTTATCTGTGCAACATAACTGCATTTGTCATTCTTTGTCTACAACTAGCAACTGTTTAACACATTTCAGCAAATGATTAAGTGCAGTTATTTACAGCTGGAACAAGTCACCAATAGTATGAATCCTTTTGGTCAAAACAGATCAGTTTGTTCACAGTTAAACAGTTTTATATTCCAAAACATTTAACTACTTCACTGTTCACATCAGAACATGCAGCTGTCAAAATACAGTATGGCAAACCCTCCACTGTTATGAACTCCATATGTGTACATGCATTCTCTTCAGCAGACATGCACACCCCTTCACGTTTTGCACATTTTAGTGGGTTGTGTAAATTTTTTCCACCACTTAAAAATAAATTTACAATGCAGTAAAATGTGAAAAAGGTGAAGGGGTACCAATATTTTCCAAAGCAACTGTATGTACTGTACATTCTGCTAAAGTGATAAATTGGTTGCCAGGTGAAACGTGAACTCCACTGGCCGCCACATCCTGTGCTGGACAATGCCACTGGCTGTGGCATTCAGAGAAAACTGAACAGCAATACGATGAAGATAGGAGACTGACTTAAGTGTTTACTCTTTGCTTGGCTGAGGGTAGAAACTATGTTAAGGCAGCTCACAAACTACTGTATGTAGCCAGTAAAACATTCAGTACAGGTCTTCAGGTGCTTCTTCAAGCGGGTCTACAGTTGAGTGGCAAGTGAACAAAAAAGAAAGGGACCCTGGGTTTCTTTTACCTGTTCCAGCCCAGCACTCTGGCCCACGTGGCTGAGGTGGTTGGAGAGGAAGGAGCGTGGGCAGTCGGATGAGTCCCGAGCGAACAGCAGCAAGCAGAAGAGCGGCACATCTCTGCCTCTCCGCATGCAGCTGTGCAGCTCCACCGCTCTGCCCAGCATCAGCAGCTTCAGTGCCTCCAGCAACCCCAGCTCCTCTTCTCCGCCTTGAAACGCTCGCTCGCATAGCTGCTGCCGCTCCACAGCCGAAGAGCACTCCACCGCTGCCTGCCACTGGAAGGAAATGGATAACAAGCATTTAATCGCTGAATCATGTATCAACTGCAAATGCCAAAGTTTTGCTCTCCTAACTTCCATTTTTACTCTCTAAGCACCTTCATGACATTAAAACATTTTCACAGGCCTCTTTTCTCGCAAGATAAAACTAATATCTGTCTTCATCTGCATCAGTGTAATCTGATCCTGTCAGGTCTTGTCTCTGCTCGTCATGAGACCCTATTCTCTCACATCCGTTTGTTTGACAACATGCTGGTGCTATAATGGTGCAAATCTGCCATTTTGCGACATCTTAGCTGAACCACAAACAAAACTATTTCTTTAACATACTGTATGTATATTTCTGATCTGATTTTCTGCCAGTACCTTGTTTCGGAGGAGCTCCACGTAGTGTTTTAGCTGCTGGTTGGCGTCTTCTGTCCCATCTCCCTGCAGACACTCACCAGGAAACGTCCACAGACTGATCAGCCCTTCCTGGGCCTCAAGTTGCTTGAGCAGCTGCAATGACAAAGCTCTTAAAGGGTTAGATGGGTTCAGGTATGTTAACAGCAGCTGAAGAATTCAAGATAGCTGGCTGGTCTTTCTTCTGGAACACATAATTAGTAGTTTGCTTAACCCTGGCCCCAAATGAAGTTAGGCTCAGCAGGTCTGTCAAGCTGACATTTGAATAATTTACACAGTGATGTCCTCTGTGATCACCTTAAAGTGTGCCCGTAGGGGGCGCTGTCGTGGAGATGCTTCTTTGTACAAGTGTTTTGTTTTTTTAAAATTGATATACAGGTGAAAGAAACGCAAAGTACCTGATAACATTCTTTTTCACGTGGTTCTTTAACCCCTGATAGATTTTTTTTTTTTGGGTGGGGGCGTTATTTCGCCTTGACAGGTAAAATGACAGACACCCGATAATTACTGGATGCTGCAGAATGAAGGTCACATGTTCTGACAGGTTATCAGAAGCTGTTTTACTACTGGCCTTTCTTTGACACATTTTCAATTCAAAATAATAATAATAATAATAATTTGTACAAAGGAGCATCTGTACAACAGCTTGCAGAACATGGTCCAACTGGTCTGAGCCTAATGTTTTTTCTTTTCATATGCTAAAAACTATCTTGTTCTACAGTTCTTTCCTTTTCTTTCCCTGAGTCTTGTTATGGCAAAAATTGTCTTATCAGGATTTGGTGAATGCAAAATGAAAGTTGATACCAATTCTGGAGGTTGATGCGCATTTATTCCTGCAGGAAGGAGCAAACTCAACCATAACAGTCTGAAGAAGAAGCTGTCTGAGCAGAGAGCTGCATTTCCTTTTATACATAGACATGAGTGTTGCTTGTAGTTTCGGTCTGTTAAGGTCATATGTAGGTTTAAGGAAACGTCTGTCACACAGGAAAGAAGCTGTCTGGTTTAACATCCATACAAGGACGTGCTTTTCACTGAAGACACTTTGACACAGAAGTTTGTCTGGCTTCACAAGCACACAAATAACTATATATAAAAATTGCATAGTAACAATCAGTATGTTAATAAGGCAATATATTAATAAGGACAGTTTTCCATCACAGTCATAACTGGTAAAGATGCTTAGCTGGGATATGCAGCTTTAGCCATCATCTTTTAACACAGTATAATGTTAATATATTTAAGTTAGCCATCAGGTGGATCTTTAATCAAGATCCCTTCACCTAGAAACAAAGTTTTCAACTCATAGTTTTCAAGTAAAGTAGCTAGCTACCACCAAAAACATCTGCTTGTCATGAACTTGATGTAAATACCCATCTATCTCTAATTGAAATCAAGCACCCATTGTTTCAAAAACTGCTAAGAGTTTCATGCAGCAAATCTGTCACCATTATTACTGAAAACACTGTACGCGTCACCCAGGAACACAAGTCTTGACAGGCACGCTAACAGCATAATTACGATGTTTAGCCAGTGGTAAACTAATACAATCTCTTTAAACCGTGCATTTACCTTAGTAATGTCATTCTCCTGCAGCCATACAGGCAGCTGGGTGCTATGGGAGAGCACTTGGAACAGCACGGCTCTGAGTGCACAGTAGTTGTCCCCCCTCACTCTCCTCAAGCTTGCAAACCTCTGGGACATCTCTTTATAACCCTACAGCAGACAGGACACCACAGGAAGCCTCTTAGCCATTAATGTGAAAAAATACAACACAACAAATGGCTCTAATCTGAAACCCATGTTCCTGGGAGCTATAGCCACCGACCTTTCTAATGAGAGCACTTTTGGCAGTGTTTCCTTTCCACTCTCTCTCGCTGTAAGACAGAATATCCACTGCCGGGGCCAAACTGCATCTGTCCTCCATCTTTAGCTCTGAGTGAGAGAAAGAGGAGCATGAGAGGCTGTGATGGCAACAACAGAATAATTGTTGTCCAGGTTTTACATGACAAAACAAAAGCAGTGTTTGTGATCCCTGATGCCATGTAATGATGTAGAGGTACTGACTTGTACTTTCTAATACAGGTGGTGGTCCTGGTTTTGTGTTTTGTGACACCGACAGCTCCTCAGCCCCTCTGTACAGGTCTTCTTCACTAAAATAAAAAACATGTGACTGAATAAGCACAATAAGAAAAGGTTTACAGAGTTTCATATGTATTTTCGTCAACCATTTCCATGGACAAACCAACTGTGAATTGGTCCTACTAATGAATACTGTACTCTAAAATGGGGTGAAGTACTCAAGTAAAGTAGAAATACCTAAAAACTTGAATAACTGTCTTTGCTACTTTCCTCCACTAAAATTATGAATGTACAAGTATCTGAGTATCAATGACCTGAGGGCTGGGGACAGATGGGTAGGAGGAGATTCTATTGAAATGTTTTCTACTGCTCAAAGCAGCTTGGTAAATAATAAATAAATTAAAATGCAAGAAATTAACCTGAACTAGTTCAATTATTGGAGCTGGGAACTTAGTTCTAAATGAATGAATATGGACAAGCTCAGAACTGAACTTTGAACCAGGGCGAGTGACACAAGAGCACAGCATCTCTTAAATCTAAGATCTTTCAGAGCTGAGAATTAACAGTCTACACTGCCACCCAGTTTTAAATAGAACGACCTCAACATCCTGCCTCACAAGTACAGAGGAGTGATTACATTCTCTGACTCAGTCTTTCAGCACATGATGCATGATGGTGAAATCCAAATCACAACAATAAAGCAACCACAAATGATCTTTACAGACCTGTTTCCCAGGTCGTCTTCAGCAGAGAGTTCCGCCTCCATGACTTCAGCCTTGACATTAGTGCCCTCCTGAGTCTCAGCATCTTTCCCAGGCTTAGTCTCTGCCTCCTCCTTCTGCATCACATCTTCCTCCTTCACTATGGAAACATCCCCATCTTGGTCAAGCACTTTTCCAGTATCGTGTTTGATGTTCTCCAAGGAAGCGAGTGCCTTTACACTCACAGATGTACACCCAGAATCTAGCTTTGCATCCTGATCGGACTTTAAACTGCAAAGATAAAGCAAATTTTGTTAACTTTCCTGGTCTTTGTACAATTAAAGTTTACTATGTGTCTAAAGCTTAGACATTTTACATTGTGAAACACATTAAGTTGTGTAAACAATGCAGGAAAACAAAACAAGGATGGTTGTTTACGGTACACAATAGAGCTGTAATTCTTAGCCCGAACCCGACCCGACCATCGGGTCGGGCTTAATTTCTATCATTTTTACTCAGGCCGGGCTCGGGCTCACGCGTTAAATGAGTGGTCACGTGATGCGTTTCACTTAGCGCGAGAAAGATGCATTGCGAAGAACGAAGATGGATGAGGTGAAACAAAGGCTTGCCTCTGGCGTATATTTTTTGGTTACACCAGCAGCAGCTAAGTCTGAGGTGTGGCACCATTTTGATCATGTGCATAACGAGAACAATGACCCAGTGGGTTATGTAAAAAGCAAGAAATGCAACGTTCTCTTAAAATACGACAGCAAAACAACAGGGAATTCCTCGCTGAGAAGGCATGTTGAGCGATGCTCTATGCGTGCGCCGTGCGCACATTTGAATAATGTCGGGCTGTAAACGGGTTCGGGCTGTCAATCAAAAATGTACTTGTCGGGCTCGGGCCGGGCTCGGGCCCTTTCGGGCCTAACTTTTCAGGCCTAATTACAGCTCTAGTACACAATGATTGCACAGCCCCTAGTGGTCACAATGGGGCTATCAGAAACACAAGTGCACAGTTGTTTTGAAACCACCCACTGACCTTTCGCTGGCATCTGCTGCAGCTCTGGTCTCTTGCTGGCTGACAGAGTTGGCAGAGTCTCGTCCCTCAGCGCTGTGACCGAGCGCCGTGGGCTCTGATCCAGGACAGGACTCAGAGACATCACAAACGTTTGCATCTTCAGGATCAGCCTGCTTGCACACTGAAGAACTTTCAGCATTTGACACAGCACTAAACACAGGAAAAAAACAATTGACAAATCAATAAAAACAAAAAAATCTACAGATGAACCAATAATGAAAATACTCAGTTTCATTCAGCCATAGAGACCAATGATCTTGGTAGTGTGAATCATGTAGAACTGCTCATTCACTGGTCTTATTACAGCTTGCTGTGACCTCGGACCATAACACACAGTCCTGATCAGCAGACTCTTTCCATCCATTTGCCATCAGACTGTTCATGGTCAAACTTTTAATGATGCTCAGCATCTCTAAGACTCCATGTCAACATCAAAGATTAGCTTGACAGTCGATTTTATTTTTTTATCTCAATCTGCTGATGAAAACTCCAGAATATAAAGTACTGTAAATGGACCTCGAGTTGAGATTGTAGTCAACAGGTGTTTCCAAGGTCAAATGTGGACTGTCAAGCTTATGTGTTCAAATTTACCATTTAATAATTATAATTTAAACATCATTCAGAACACATATACCTGAATTTCCTTCTGGATCAATAAAGTATCTATTAAAATACAACAGTACCAGGGGAAAGACAGATAAAAGCTATAAATACTTTAGTACTGGCCAGCCCTAAACACACATATTTAAATTTAAGCAAACAACTGAAACTTCACAGGTCGTCCTCTCATGTGACTTACAAGCTCGGAATCTCCTCGCTGATCTCCTGGCTGACCACAGATATGGACGATATATGATCAGCTGCTGTGGCGAGCTGAGCGTTTGACATTTGGTTATTTTTTAAAGACTCCTCTGATGGTTCGGCTATAGCACTGCCAGTAGCAACTCTGGAGCCTGCTGCTGCTTCTTCTTCATTATCATGAGCAGTGCTCCGGGTATTGTGCTCCCTTGCTGTGGTTGCCTCAGTACATGAAAGGTGTTGAGGGTGGACTGCCTCGGCTGTCAGTGCGCCGCCATCTATGATTCTGTCCTGCACTGAGCCTGGAGTTTCTTCTTTTGGCACCACAGCAATTGCTGTCAAAACCTCCCATTCAGCTGCGTGGTCTTTCTGCTGGGGATCTAAAGTGCATTGCAGATGCTCAGCTTGTCCACTGTCATGTGAAAGTTTCTTCACACCTTCATCTTGTGGTCTGGTGGAGTTTCCAGACTCTTTGTGGGGAGAAGGCATAGCCGGTTGAATGCCCTCCTTCTGCAAGGGTCCATTCTCCTGAGTGTTATTGGGCTCTGTCTCTCCATGTAGAGGCCTGTGCTTATCCTGCACAGTCTCAGCCTTTTCCTCAGCCTTTTTATTTGTCTCATCAGATGTGTTCCTGAGTGGCATAAAAAGAAAAGGAACAATGTCACAACAAAAACACTGTACAAAACTAAAGTTAAAACCCGACTCGTCTGCATTCCTGATGTCTTGAGTAAAAGCCATTTTGTGAGCAGGAACCCTAAGTAAATATGTGATCATGGCTAAGACTGCGCAGCAGGATGTTTCAAGATTCTTTGTAGGTGGGGAGGAAGTAGGAAAACTCTCTTTACACTAACCACCAGTGTGTGTAATGACAAATCTTTCTCACCCTGAAACCTCTGGAAATCCCCTAGTCCCACTTGTGGTCTCAGCAGTCCGTATGTGATTTGGTATCAAAACACACCCTACACAAACCTTAGGGGAAATCTAGATTAATTTATTGTCATTTCATGTTTATCTACTGTCCACAAAGATTCTGTCTGAGTCAAAGCCAGTCAACTAACTGTGTGAATTCCCAGTATATCAAACTGACGTGTTCTGTTTATCGATATTCTCTGCTCTGAGTCAGTAGGGACAGCGCAGCCATAGTTCCAAATTAATAAACTGAACTAGTTGCATCTCGGTCACATCACGTCACCCTACATTTTATTTCTAAAATATTCAAATGATTATTAACAAATACATAATTGTCATGTGATGTGTACCTATAGCCTGTGTAAAAACTGCTGTTTGTAATAAAACTGAATTACAATTTGTTGGTATTCAGTTAAAGACTTGAGCCAGTTGGAGCTCAATTATTAGGTTTTTCAGCAGGGCTCTGGCGTACCACCAGGTGGAGCCTCGGGTACCGCCAGTGCTACTCATATCACAGTTTGAAAATCACTGGTCTAAATAATGCAGGGTGGGCCACGGAAAAGTAGCCCGACAAGATGAATGAACAAGTGGCTAATTTTTGTGGCCCACCCTGCACTTCTCCTTCCCACTGTCACAGTCATATGTGACCTATGGCTCTGTAAATGTATGTGCCACTGAGAATCAGGTTAAGAAGAACCTTACTGATCTTTACAGGGAAACAGCTTTGTAACAGTTACTCAAGACTGTGGAATCAGTCTGGAGTGAGTGGATGTCACATGCAGTTTCCAGGAGGAGGAATAATAACCAAGATGGTAGGTGAAAGCTCCCTGGGTATGTAGTATGGACATAGTCCCACAGATAACAGTTCAAAATCCTGACTACAGAGATGGCCCTTCACAGTAATGTGACCAGGGTGGCACCATTTACTGTTATTAAAAGTGACAAGCCCTTGATACACTGTATATCTCCTCTTCTCCATCAATCTCTCTTATCTGTATCAGTATTGGTATCTGCATCACCAGCCTAGGCTTTACTTGGTATTGGAGCAGAAAGAGAGCGCTATCACACATCACTAGTGTCAAGTCAGAGCCACACAGAAGGCTAAGGTCAGATAACTAGATTCTCTACCATGCTAAAACAGTCTGGTACACCCCTGAGGTTTGTGCAAGGGGCCACACTGTGACCACACCAGAATAATGTACAGACTGCTACGGTACCAAAGAAATAGATTAGAGGTCTCAAAACTCCATAAAACTGAACAAAAGAAATAGATTAGAGGTCTCAAAACTGTAACTGTCACTGTAACTGTTATCTCACCTTGTGTCTTCATCCTTTTCTGCACCACCAGTGCTCACTGGAACTATTTCACCTGAGGACACCATGGCCTTTGTTTCATCATTCAGTAAAACTATTCTTTCCTCCGCACTGCCACAGGGACTCTCAGCGGGACAGCAATTCCCCATCTGCTTGCTCCCTCTTGTCTGGGAAGTCAAACAGGCTGTAGGCTGAATGGAGACCTCTGGTCCAAAACAATCCTAAGCGACCTGATGAGTCGCAGAACCTTGAAGATTTCAGGACTCCATGGTGAAGAAGGTCAAGCTGCTGCTAAAGCCAGAAGGAAACCATGGTTAGCACTGAATAACTTTGGAACCTAAAGGAAAAATGTGCAAACATCAGTGATGAAACTGAAAATGCCTATCCTGGTTTTTCTGAGCCCAAAGTGACATCAAATATAATCTTCAAACAGTCAGTTTACAATATAGTTCAAAGGAAAACATCAAATCCTACATTTGAGAAGCTCAAACTAAAAAATGTTTTGGCATTTTACAAAAAAACAAGATGCTTTTTATATATTAATTAAGCTATAATGTTCTGCCTGTCACTGTCAGAGTTTAGGGAACACTGGGTTCCATAAGTAGGGAAGACTGGGGGCATGTGTGACCTGAGGCACTGTCTCAACCGGCACCCTGAGTTTCATGTGTGTGTACGGGGAAGCTGGCTATAACTAGTTGAGTGTAAATTCTGTGAAGGTCTTCTGTTCTGATGACACGTGGGTTTAAGCTCTGTCAGTTTTGAGCTGTTTCAGAAGTATGATTCTGACACACATCCCGCGTGTACACTTCATGCTCTGGCCAGATTAAGTATAATATATTTAAGAAGACAACTGACTGTTATAGCTTCTCTTCTCTTCTAAACCTGAGATTTTCTTCATCACCATATTTTGACGAATAATTATGCCCCCACGGTAAACAGTGTCACAAAGTTTGATATCTGATATGGCAACTTAAAACATTAACTATATAAAATATTGTAATGATGTCAGGTGAGGTACAAGACAGACTTGTACCATAGGGTTTGCACTAAAACTGCTAGTATCTGTATCTGAACATTTTATGACAATATATGACAGACAGCTATCAAAACCTTTGGCCCTGTGTAAATGTACTGCTCAAAAAAATAAAGGGAACACAAAAATAAGACATTCAACATAACAACCTTTATTTTTTTGAGCAGTGTACTATGTGCGAACAGGTTAGACGTATCAAAATACAACATGAATGTATGATTACAAAACTCTACAGTGTTAAAATTCCTTCAACGTTTTTATCAATGCTACTTTATAACGTTACATTCTGTATAATTCAAAATTAGCTTAACTTATAGCTACACCCCATTGTTAGTGTAAATATATGGAAAAAACCATACTAATAACAGAACATTTCACACAGCACATTCACCTGAAATAATGACATACCTACGTGGTGTTTCACTGGAAGCAACTCCTTTCACTTTTAGATACCTGGGAAATAGGCTTAAGTTAGCTCGCCAGCTAGCTGCTGCAAACTTAAGGTACAAACATGCGCTACTACAGAGTGGTCGCCGCTCACGAGACAGACTGTTGTCAGTAGTTATCGTTTATCATTTCGTTTACCATTATCGTTTAATCGGGAACATCGATAAATGACAGGATTTACTGCGGAACATCTGATGGTGCGCACCCCTAGCATAGCCAGAGCAGCAGGGTCACGGCTCGGTCCGAGCACAGAGCATGACGTCATACTCGTGTGCGACCGAGAGTTTTGGTGCGTTCAAGTGCTGCTGGGAGTCTGGATACACCTAGATAGACAGATAAAGGGGTAGTCTCAGTATTTTTGTGTTACGTGTGGTATTTTAGTGAATATACACGGACAGTGTTTATTAACTTTTATTGAGAACATTCCTCAAATCACATCCATACATACATCTAATTATAGCTACTTTAGATGTCATGACCTTGGCCTCCAGTACTAATGTGAATTATTTTTGATCAAGATAGGTCCTTTAACAAATAAAACAAACCTCTAGAACTGCATTCTTTCACCTGCATAATATTGCAAAAAAATCAGGGACATTCTATCTCAAGGTGTTGCTGAAAAAAGTAGTACATGCATTTGTTCTTTCACTGTCAGGGGAAGAGTTTACAAAATTAGAATGGGAGGCAGCTCCAAGTCAGGCTTCAGGAGCCAGACACCCTTTCTGCTTTTAAGATTAGCCTTGTAACTTTCCTCTTTGATAAAATAAAATCAAGGGTAGCTTTAGAATCACATATGCATTATAGTTTTAGCTGAGAACAGAAGTGCTTTAACTTTACTTTGGCCTGCTCATCTGGATGAACTTGGAGACCGGTGTCTTGTTAAAAACATAGCTCCTAAGTTAAATATTTTGGTGTTTTGGACCCTTGGTCACATATAACAGAGGTCGACAATATATACAGTATGTGTGTATAAGAGGTAATATAAAAGTTTATTTTTTCATTTAGGTAAGCAACAACAAAAATATGTGTGAGAAATATGTACAAAATATTTTTATTTGCCAAAATTATTCAACCAAGTATTTTAACAACAATTTCACATATTGTGAAACTACTCAAATATAAAATATTTCACATTACATATACAATAAAAGTGGTTCATTCCCATGTGGAAGAAATTTACAAGATAACTTGTTTGGTTTCTTAGTTCAAGAGTCTGACCAAATATCATCCTCGTGATGTTGTTCCCTGAATTTGTCACATGTTGTTCAGCTCCTGTATGTGACTCATCAGCTCCTGCGGCATCCCCAGCTCTGACACTACATCCATGCAGCACTGCAGGAGATGGTTTAGACTTTCTCCTGAGCCATTATAGTCAGCGGATTGTGAACAAAGCTTTTGTGGCTGCTGAATAACATCCTGCTCCATTATTTCTCCTCCCCTGCTGCAGTTTGTTTCTTCACATTCCTCTCCACAACAGCCTGAATCTGCCTGGTCCACCTCCAGGTCCTCCATGCTCTCTGAAACTGCACTCACACTGGGAGGAGGATTCTCCAAAGCCTTCTTAATGCCGCCCATGATTTTGTCTTCATGCTGTGAAACCCGCTGGAGGAGCTCAGTCACAGAGGACGGGACTGGGCTTTCCGGATGCTGGATCTGGCACCAGCACCATATAGCACTGTGATAAGAGACACAGAGAGAGAGAGGCAACAGTGTCAGATACAGTGGCACAGAGAAGTGATTCAGACAAGGAGAGACTGCAATAATTGCCAATATAAAAGGGGCTCATGATGTTTCTGTGCAAGAATGAAATCTTTAAAAAGAGTTCATAAACATGATTTATGACGATCACTAACACCTTGTATCTCTTTGGTCTTTCATAGTGTTCGAGTGTAAATGTTATGTATCCATTGATTTACTAATTTACTTTGTCTTATTATAGTGAACTAACTATTTTCAGAGCTGCATTTAGAGATCGTTAAATGTGAGGTCTGGGAAACTGCTTCTTTTTCTAAACATTTTAAATCAATCAATCAATCAATAAAAAAGCAGTAGTTAGTTGCAACTCCAATCAAATGATAAATTACATGTGTGATGAATGATGTACCTTACGATTCCTTTGAGACGACCCACAGCTACAGTCTGAGCTGCTCCTTCCCTGAAGCCCAGGTTGAAACCGACCTGGAGTGAGGCCTCCTCCCCGGCATCCAGTCCGTCCACGTAACCATCCTGTCCACAACACCATCAGTGAAGAAGAGAAAGGTTCACGTTTTCACAGGCTCCGTTTATATTCTTGGTTACAGAACACATGTTTGACATAGCAGACTGTGATATTTACACGCCATTTAGAGCAGGTTAATGCTAAAACGAGATGAGCTACATTAGCTTTACCCTGACTCGCTTCTTCATGTTGGATGTCCACTCTTTATTCTGAAGAGTGAGGTCGTCCGCATTCTCGTCGAAGACATCTTCTCCGCTGTATAAAACAGATTTAACCCAGGACATTGAAACTTATAATAAGACGACCGTCGATGACAGTAACATCATAACTTTGATTGGAAATAGCTGATAGAACTACTTCCGCCTTTTCTTCTTCTGCTGTTCACTGGCGGTTAGGAAACAGCTTCCAGGTGCACTACCGCCGTCTACTGGATTTGTGTTCAAGAGCACAACTACATCGCACATCGGGATCAAAGAGTACAGAAGCAGAGAGCAATTTTGTGCTTTTTGTAAAATTATTACACAATTTATTACATTTTACGGCGTATCACAACTTATTTAGTGACACTGCACACATCACTGGATAGAAGAGGCTCTTGGCAATATAAAATACTTGGAATTTATTGCATATCCAAACAATGTTCCATGATATGCTCCACGTATATGTGCTTTTATTTGATCATTCCTCTGTTTTAATGTGATCATCAATCAAAAAAATATACTAAATCCCGAAGATAATGTAAATAAATGTTTATTATTTTATTTTGTGATGTTAATATGTAGGCATTTAACCTGTAATCCTGCAGGGGGCGCTGCAGCCTCACTGTAAAACTGATGGTCTACAATAGCGCAGTGCACGGTTTGTATCTAATAATCATCCATAGGGCGCCACTGTGATGGCAGATCAGTATTTTATAAAAGTTTTTCTTTACTACTCATCATCATGATCACCATCCCCATTTAATTATCTCTCCAATTTCTTCATTGTTTGTATCCATGTCTTTTCCGAGTCAGTTTTCAGCATCCTGATGTGATTGCTGCTTGTTCTGATTTTAATTAAACAGTGGAATGAAAGGTAAACATACATACACACAAATAACAAAAACACTGTCTCAACTTCAGGCTCCATTTGGTTAATTTTAAAATTGTTGCATACAGCAAAACCTCTAAAGTCATGATGCCAAGGAAAAACGTACTGCATCTCTACTGTACAGAAAAAAATGTTATCTCCATTTGGTCTCAGCAATACTCTGAAAAAGTGCAAAGATGTCTTGAAGCTTAGAACAGATGACAATTTGTACAAAACAACAGTTACCAAAAGTTCTTATGGCATCTGAAAACAGGGGAAAATACAGAGACCTGTCTAATTACATTCCCATTTGATGTGTAACTTTATATTTGCAATACAAAAGTAATATTAATATAACAAAACAAACAGTCAGATCAAATTAAATCATAAAAGAATTTTAGCACTGATTTCACTCAGTTTTTAAATGACTGACATTAACAGCATATGGAAATAAAACACAAACAAAAGATGACAATGGCAGAACATAATCCAGGTATTTGCAGTTATACTGTGAAAGATAATTTCAGTAAAAAATGCTCCACAAAACCCTTTTTTGAAATCATCTAAAGCTGATAAGCAAAAGATATAAGAAAAATCTTGTAATTTGACATTGTAGACAAATAAATTGATCGTACGTTTTGGTGAGAAAATGTCAGAAGTTGCATCCTGTGCTGTTGCTATTTTCTACACACATGTTCAGTGCAGACTAAACACCTCAGATGTTCAGTCACTGTCTGGTGCATTGTCACAGCTTCAAACAAGAAACTGTCATGACAAGCACATTATTCACTCAAAAATAATACACCTCACCTCCCTTTTTCTCAATCTTGAGTAGACACAGAAAAAAAATCCTCCTTGTTTTATTTTCAGATTTTCTCATTCTTCATGCCATGCTTTATGGAGAACACAAGAGATACCGGGTGGTGAGCAAATTAATTTCACCTTGGTGGAAAGCATTTGCAGCCGCTGGACAACAATGGCCTTGAGAATACCTGGAGGCCACGACGGAGTTGTCTCTGTTCTGGAAATGGAGTCAGCCCTGAGGCCTCATTCACTGCAGCCACACCTTCAGCCCCCCTCGCTCAGAGTCAAAACAACCAGCCAGGGCAATCACCTGACACATTTCCATCCAGTTTCCACTGCAGAATGTGTTCATTTTCAGGCTAATGGCATGTCATTTTGCTGGAGCCTTTGGTCAAGAATTAATCCTGGAATCAAAACAGATTTTCCGGGGAGCAATCTTCCATCAAGTATTGATTTTTTTACACTCACAGAGCCTGTACTCCCTAATTTAACCTGACAGCCAGTAGCACAATGGACTGGGAGCACCTTGGCATCTCACAGAGGGAGCTCTCCTCCTCCCCACTCTGTCCATGAAGTGAAAGAGAGATTGGGAAGAAAAAAAGAAAAAGGACTCCCAGATGTATAAAACAAAGAGCATTGCTTACAGAAAACACAGAGATAAAGCTTCTGTCTCTCTGTTTTACCTCTAATTATGTTTTCTAGTGCAACTTGGGCAGGTAAGGCTGAGAGGGAAAAGGGGAGAGTGTTGTGCGGCCATCAGATATCATTATGGGCCTGTTGACATCTCCCTGTCTTTGAGTGATTCTCATCTGTGATTTCCCCTGGCCATTTTCTGTGGATGCACAAAGAGGGGTTTCATCATGGCCCCATAAAAAAGGCTCAAAGTGTCGGTACAGGCCCTCACTAATAAGAAAGCAAAGATGTGCACGGTGATGCCACTCCTCTCCCATCCATATCTGCTCTCTTGATGCCTTCAGATATGCAATCATTCTCTTTCCTCCCCTGTTCTTTCTTTGAGTCTCTCTCTGTATGTGCGGTAAGTATACTATAGCGTACGTAGAGGTCAGCAGGATGAGAGGATGATGGAGGGCAGGGCTGGTTATTATCCTCTAGCTCTTAAAGCTGCGATGACCTATGTGCAAGAGTTGCACTTTGCCAAAGGGTTTTCCATGCACTGCTTACAAACTACCGGACAGGTGGGAAACTATTTCAGTTTTCATCTATGTTTAACTCGTAATCATCAATTTCAGGGAAAATGTGGAGTGATACTTACATTTTAGATAAAGCACCCCATTTGCAACACATTTTATGGCTCCATACTATAATTAGTACTATACATTAGCAGGGTCACAGCAGTATGGGTTATGTGGCAATGGGCCCCTCAGCACAGACACTTGAGAGACCCCCACCCTGGCTAACAGACTCAGTCCCCAACCATCATCACAACGTTTGCATCATTTGTGGTAATTTTTTCTGTTGTATTCTGCAGGTTAAAGGATAAGGCCAGTCATGTTCTATGCTAACAGTAATTTCAACACTCCCCACACAGAGACTCAAACCAACACTGATTTGCCTCTACTCACGGCTGATGTCCGTCAGCATGTCAGTCCTGAATCAGCTCGTTCGTCTGTGCCACAGACCTTCACTGTTGTTCAAACAGGATTAAAAACACACCAGTGCTGCTTCACTGGCAAACCCCAGACCCGAGCCCGAGGAGCTGGAGGAGAGGAAACAAAGCTGAGAGCTCACACAAAATCTTGCACATGTGCAGCTGACTCAAACTTGTGCTAACCTAAGGAAATTATAGTTGCTCGGAGACTCTGGGGCCACATAGTTGGGTCTGTTGAATTTAAACTATTAAAACTATGTTTTCTGATGATAATAATTGTTGTGTTTACTGATCATTTTCTTTTATTATCAACAATGCATAAATCTAGAGTATGAGTTTTGCTTGGGGCAAGCAAAGTAAGAAGGTGTCCATCTCTGTCCTGTTTGGTTACAAGATTCCTGCACAGAAATACTGAGCCCAAACTAGTAGAAAACAGAGACATCACAGCCTACAGACATGCATTCAGAAACAGGGCTGCTAGAAAGTTAAATGGACTATGTGCCAATGCAATCAGCTGCTCAAGTTAGACAGGTGTGTCTGTAAAGACCCAGGCTATTAACTCCTCTACCTGCACATACCTCACAGTGTGTCATTGCTAATAATGTTGAAAAAATAGAAACAATGGTGAAAGCAAAAGGGATCATATGCATGGCCGACCTCGATTGCATGTGAGGATTGGTAATTGCACCCCCAGAGGCGTCTGGGTGTGCAGAGCAGCAAAGTGGGAGACGCCTGAGCAGCTCGGGCTTCACAGTCAGTGTACCAACATCTCAACCTTGAGGAGGAAGTGAAAACAAGAAGGCGGAGGAGCGGTGGGTGAAGGATATACAGACAGTTCATTTACCTAGAACATCAGCCCACCGCACATTGTCTGAAAGATAAGGAAAGTGAATGCTTCATGCCTGATGGAAAACAAAGGCAGCAATTTAAAACATCTGCATCCAGCACATGCACACACTCCACCTCTCTGTTCCTCTGTCCTGACTGATATTGAAACATAATCCATTTGGAGCGCCGACATGTCATAATATTTCTATCCGGCCTCCCTCTCCCCAGTCAGGACAATTTCAGGTGGCTGCAGGTTGAACAGGAATGTTTTATTTCAACAAGTCAGACAGTCGGCTGAAGCTGGAGTCTTCACTGCGATTCTGTTTAGAAAAATAATAGAGAGAGAGAGAGAGAAACGAAGGGACACAAAGAAAAGGACATTAAATCCATCTTAAGTAGACCATAGCTGCTCCTGCTAGGTTCAGAAAACAACACGATTCAGAGATTAAACTCATCTTTACTGGCTAACTGTCTTTACTAGTAACACAAAGGCTGGGTGTGAATCCTCAGGCTGTTGTATGCTGCTGTCAAAGCTCTGCCTTGCTGAAGAAAGCAAGGAGAAACTGCAGCCTATGCTCGTCTTTGAACAGAGAGTACTCAAAAAATTCTATATTTGATTCTACACTCGAGATTTATGTGCGAGTTTCACATTACAGTGCTCATACTGTCTTAACCACGGACGGCTTGTGAGACACTGGGGCCTTGGGCACAAACATATAAAAGCCCCCCCCAAAAGTTTTGTGTCTCTTTGTTTTTGCATCTTTGTAGTTTGCATCCATATTTTGTTGTTTTGTGTGTTTGTGGTAATCTTGTATTGTTTTAATTATTTTGTGTTTAGTCGTGTCTCTTTTTTAGTTGTCATTCATTTCTTTTTAGTTATTCTGATTATCTGTTTACTTGCTTAGTGTCTCTTTGTGGTTATTTTTTGTCTATGTTTTACGTGTCAGTGAGGCTGTTTTGTTGGATGTCCCTGAAAAAGAGAGGAGGCCTCTCAGTAGACCTACTCTGAATAAATAAAGGTTTAAAAACCAACTTTTGTCTTGTCTACACTGAGAGTGTGAAGACAGATTGTTCTGTATGTCATATACTGTAGATGTTCAGTATGACAGATGACTGATGCATTCAGGCTGTATTCAGTGATCAGTAAGTGTGCAGACCACACATATCCTGTGGATGTGGATCAGTAGATTTATTACTGAGTGAGCTGCCTGTACAAGTTCTGTTGATAAAAACATTTTAGACATTTAAGATGTCTTGACATAGTTGGAAAAATAGTTGTTAATGTGGATAATATAAGTGACAGCTAATCAAAAGTTTAATCATGCAGCTTATTTTCTCATGGTTGTTTCACTAATGTCAGTGCATTCCCTCAAATTCTTCACAAAAAGTTTAGAGGTTTACAGGAGTATATTCAACTGTAGATTTAAGTTGTTAAATATATGACACTATAAAAGCTGTGCACAAACAGAAGCAAAACTTTTGGGTATGACTCATTTTTACCAGTCACATCCAAGAATGATGTCTAAAAATGTCAATCTGTGACATTTACTCCATAATCTCTGTGCCAGGATTCCTTTAAAGTCAACTGGTACTCTTCATTCAAAAGACAGAATAGAAAGTAAACTTTCATCAGCGGCAGAATACAAACAGGTTGAGATGTGGGTCAGGAGCTGCATCTGCACAATTACACCGCTAATGGCAAATCCAATGAAAATGGCGCGGATAGAAAACAAAAGAATATCAAACAACTTGCTGGAGCTGCGTATACCTCAGCCATCACCGCTCAAAAAGACATCCAATGTTTTGATATGAAGGGGGAGTGAGAGCTGAAAGGAAGACGAAAAAGCATCTCCAACATCAGTTTTCAGTCTAATGTTAATAATTTATGTTGTCTGTGCTTTTTATTATTATTATTTATTTATTTACTACTTTCTTTTCAGCCGCCTGCCTGGTTTTCAAAGGCATCGTGGACAGGGAAGCCGAATCAAACTTTTGAGTTTAGTTTCAAAAGGCTTTCTCCCAATTTATTTTTATATTTCTTCTTCTTTACACTTGTTATTTGTTGAGGCTTTGATGAGAAGCAAACCTGACATGTATTCTTCTGACTGACCCCAAGGAAATCTAAATAAACCGCTAAATACTGTGTATGACTCTTTATGGTTCGCTCATCTCTCAGTTAAATTCATTCAGCTGCTCAGCAAAAACAGGTTAAATGTCAGATAACATAACTGTATACAACCTTAAATATGAAGGTTTGTACAAAACGATTTAAGATGCATTTGACCATGACCTCACAGAGGGAAAGGCAGGACTTGTTTCACTTTATTTGACGTATTGATGCGTTTGATAAGATAAAAAGAGATGTTTTAATGTTTATAGAATATTTGTAATGTATGTTACCGAAAACTTTGAAATCTACACAGACTTTACTTGTGTTACTTATATTGCACTTGTTTTTATGAAACACAGAACGGGAACTACACTTTTCATGTCCTGCTCTAGAACAACAGGCAGAAACTGTAAAACTGGTCAAAGTAGTTAAAAGTTTTCAGGCAGAGTAAAACCTTATTGTAGCTAAAGGCTCCGTAAAATCTAATACTGCTCACACTCTTTAGGGAAAACACTGTCTACAAACAAAATGTGTCTAAACTCGAATCACCTACGTTATATTGGCAGAAATTCAGAGCAGAAATAGCGAAGAAGTGTGAGCTACTTTATTTATTTGCTGATTGTGAGTGAAGCAACCCTTTCCAAAGCAACCTGTCTAACTGATTGTGGCAACCTGTCTAACTGATTGTGAGTGAAACACACACACACACACACACACACACACACACACACACACACACACACACACCATCGGTGCAGACACTTGTTGATTTTTTCCTTTGGATTTAAACTCAAATTCCTGTCCATACATAAAAACTGACAGGTCTTTGCATTGAGACAACCAGCGTTATAGACAACATGTAATTAAACTAGTAGTTTAACTACATTTTGGAGATTTGCACAAGTAGTTAAATTATGTTTGGCCATTTCTGTGTAGTTAACTACTGAAACTACAAACAATTTTGGGCCATTAATGGAAAAGGGACACTTTTTATTTTTATTTTTCCATATGTGAACAGCTTTTCAACTTTGGCTGTGACATTTTCAGCCACAACCGAAGCCTTCAGTTGGATATGGACTTTGTGAGATGGCTCACGTGTCGTATAAACAAGAGATCCTGCTTTGACAAGTAAAGAGATGGGCCCATTTTTAGACCAGGGCTCAAGCTGTTTGTATTGTTTAAAAAGGTGGAAGTTGAAGACTGTTTCAGTTGTTAAGATTGTACAGTCAGATGGGACGAATCAGACGAGTATGAGTAGTTTTCAGACCAGGACTCAAGTCTGCCCAATGGTGGTGGTCAAGTAAATATTTTTTCTTTACTGTTTTAGTTAGATAATATAACACCCAGATTAGTTTACAACAAAAGTGTATATACATATATTGTCCCTGTGAAAAGCCCAGATAGGATTGTTTGGTTCAGGGCACTTGACTTATATTTCATTTACTTCAGTGATTAAATCAGTTCCATGCTTGCAGATATTATTCTATTTAAGCAGCAAAACTGAAAACTCCTTGTGATAAATAAGTCAACAAACCAGTAAAAAGTATATGAACCTTTGCTAAAAATAAAAATGTAGCATCAACGTTATTTTTAAAATCTCTTCTGCTTTAGCTGTCTATATCTAGACATCTAGACACAGACATCTCGCTGTGACAGTTAACAATACCTGCCATAAATTAATATGGCACAATAACATCCATATAGTGGAACACAGAAGATTCCTGTCACTAAAAACACAACACAAGTCATGTCAAACAATTGTTTATTACTAATTATGGTATAAATCAATATGACAGACTTGAAGCTTTGTTTAAGAAATACACAAAGTGCTGCTTAACTGACCAAACAGATATTGCTCTATAGATCAAGTACAGTTTTTAGTCTTAAAAAAACAACCACTGCAGGCTTTTCAGCTTTGGTTTCAAGTTCTTTGACTATTAACAAAACACCAAACCAGGTTGTCGGTTCCATGAAAGGCGATTAACGAGTCATCCTAATTGGGTTAAGAGCAACATCACTGTAATCTTCTCCTCTACAGGTTTGTGAAAACTGAGGTGAATGTCACAACAAATGAGGAACAATGCAGAAAGAAAAAACAGAAGTGGCTCAGGAGATGACTTCACAGAAAGAAAACGATCGTGTGTCAGCGTGATATAAAACCTCTCCCGCCACGTTGCAGGTGAACGTCGATGACACAGTGCAGAGTAATGATGTGCCTCTTCTCCTGACCTGCTGCTTCTCGTATGGCATTTGTATGATTCTCACAAGAACAGTGCTGAGGTAAACCGTGGATGAACTACTGTACATTTCTACTCTTCAGCATTTTTATCTCAGATTTTAAAGATTGTCAACATCATGAATCTATTTCTCTGTACAATGTGCATAACTATAGAGCTTTGGTCCAGCATTGAAGTCGAGCAAAGGCAAAACTCCTTTTTCTGTGTCTGCTTTTGGTTTTGGTTACAGCTTTAATATTAAGCCTCAGAACTGATCCACTTCTGCCCTCTCATCTGTTTATCTGATGAGTGGTGCAGACATTTTGCATTTCCTGGCCTGAAGGTTTAAGCATTTGTTCTGTTGACAGAAATAAAACGCACAGAATGGGTAGGTGTAAATGCAATAAAACAGCGTTGCTATAAATGTCTGGGTGACAATGTAGAAAATTATGATTATTTTCGTGTCTGTGCACCAAAGGAAGTGAAGAATTTCTTTCCCTGCACACAAACACGTGAAGATTTTTCATGTATTTTCTAACAATTACCAACTGCATGTTTTACAGGCAGTGACGATGAACACAGCAGCGCACAGGGGCCTGAAAGGCTGAGATAACCGATGTGACAAGGACGGACAGATATCGAGCAGACACGGTTCTGAATAAATTACATCAAATTTCACCTCACCTCAAATTAAGCTCACTCATTCTGACATGTGACACTTACTCTCAACATTCACCTTGTTCATCTCTTCCTGTGAGGGTTTTCGTAAGAGCCAAATATCTGTAGTGACATCTGGGAGTTTATTATTTGTTTTCCTGGAATATTTCTTCATTAAAAATTAAAAGGGTTGTAACACAATGAATAATTAATAAACATATTAGTGGATTTACCCATGCAAAGTATGATAAAAATATATACGACTGTCGTAGAAATAAATTAAAAGAGGAGAAAAATACACATTTCCATTAAAAATGCTGATTATAAGTGTAAACATTCGCTTTGCTGAGAGGAATGCAGAATGTGAAGACAACAAACACAACTGTCTTTGCACAGAAGCACATGAGCTCAGTAGTTCGGTCAGTGGCAACAAACAGGCTTCAGCCACACTTAATTAAGGAGATGTAAAACCACAAGTTAAATTTTGGGCCGCCTGGTGAAATTTATTTTAGCCAAGACTTATAACGCTTCTTCTCCGTGTGTTTGGAGTTGAAACATGCAGAGTTTCCTCCAATACATTTCCTATATTGTACTTACAGAAGACAGAGCTGTGGCTGTTTGACATGTTTTTTGTTAAACTTGACCTACAGAGTAAAACGCTTTAGAAAAAGGGAGGAGGAAGCCTTGTGCACAAACAAATAAAAAGGTAAAATCTTCCCCAGTCCTTGAGCTGAATGTTTATGTGTTCTTTGGCTATCAGGCTTTGGCAACAGAATGACACAGTAGCTCAAAACAAAGCTGCAGTAGACTCGACAGACACCGACTTTCCGCTTCCCTCCGTCCTCTGAAACAATCTCATGAGATCCTTAATAAATACCTGTAAAAGTTGTACAAAGTTACACTGTGACTGAAAATATTTGCAGGTAAATCAAAAACATTTTATGCACTTGTTTAACAGCAAAGGTATTTTCCAGAAAAAAACATTACCAGTGTGATTTCAATCTGAAGACAGCGTTTTTTTTTTAGATATTTACATAGAAACAATGAAGAAAAATTAAGTGAGACAAAGATAAAACACATATAGGTTAGATTTGCCAGTACAAATGTAAAAATTTAGAGCACATATACATTACAAAATTATTCTTAGATGCAACAGACTTTGGTAAATAGTGTTTTGATTTGGTATGATCTCTCTTTACTAAATCCCTCCTCATGGGAACCAAAATGTGGTCTGTAAAGCCAGAATCTAAAACTGTTTTTACACAATTCTCAGATAATATTCTCTTTTTTTCTTGTTTTTGGTTTTGCCATTTGTCATTTACACAACTGTGGCAATCACACTGACAACACATACAGTAGATTTTGTTTGCAAACTGTCCATCCAGGTGACTTGGGAACATTTCTCAATTCTCATTTCAAGATGAGTTCATCCATCTTTGCTGATTTGTAATGGCCTCCCCTTCGCCTTTGGAGGGCTCGTTCATTTCGGGAGCTCCTGTAGAGAGTCGGTGAGAGGGTCCACTGGTGCGGCCGTGCCCAGTTCGGGCTGTTTCAAACGCTTTATTGTGTTTTTCAAGGCTTGCCTCTTGTTGCAGAACCAGACACGCACCACCTCCCTGTCATAGTTCAGTTTCTCTGCTATTTCCGTCATTTCCTGTCCAGAGGGGTGCGTGTTCTTCTCAAAGTGGCTGTTGAGGATCTCGAGTGCCTGTGGGGTGAACGAGGTCCTCCGCTTGCGTTTTTTCGAAGGCTCACTGCCGATAAACTCAGTCAGGTTCTGCATGCCGGATCGGTGGCGGGCTTCAGCCTCGGCCATCCAGCGCTCCAGAACGGGCTTAATCTTCTGGGCACTTTTAGGGGTGATGTCCAACTTCTCAAACCTGGCAGGATATAAAAGGCCAGGGTTCAGTTTACCTGTCAGACTGCTACCTATAATGTTCTCTTGGGCTTCCTGTGGTTGGAAAAAGTGGCTTCTCAGGATGGTGTGTCTGGGGAGAATTGAGAAAAAAGAATCTTACTTAGGTGCCCCGCCAGAACAAGGGATAAACTGCCTGTCTTTTAATCTCCTCAAACAGAATGCCACTAGGACTGAGACTAACATCCAGGTACACATGCGAGCCAGACTCCACTGTATTCTGCACCTGGATCACCTCAGCTGGAGCAGCTGGAGGTAACGGGTGCCAGTAGGGTGATCATTTTCTGGAGGAGGCTGTGGTTCTCTGTCCCAAACTGGCAACAGTGGATTAGGAGCCAGTGGCTAAAATAAGACCCATCTGAACCACAAACATACCAAACATCTGACTAAATGTTTCAAATAATGTGCTGCAAATTCAGGCTGGACGATTAATCATTTCTCGAGTGCGATTCAGACCCCTATGTGATCTCAGTCTCAAGTGACAATGATTCTGCTGTTTGCATTAGCAGTGAGATCCCTTGCATCAAATCAAGTGGTCCCTTTAAGCTACATTACCACTGTAAATACAACGTAATGTAACATAACGTAACGTAAACCAACCACCAGGCCAAACATGTTAGATTTGTTTTTGAATCAGTCTTCTCTTGCTGTGTACAGCTTGTCGTGTGATGTAATGCATTCTTGTTACTGGTTAAGGCAGCTTGGCGAGGAAAAGGGAGTGCTTGGTTTGATGCAAGGCTGCCAATGCTAACGCGGCAGAATCACTGTCATGTGAGACTGAGACTGCACAGGGATCCGAATCACGGCCAAAAAATGATTAATAGTGCATCCCTACTGTAAAATTAAACCAACAGAAAAAAGCAGGAAAAACTCCCAAAATATCCATTTTCTACTCCTCAGGTAATAAAACAAACAAAAACAAAATCTACTAATGCATGCAGTTAAATGTGGGACCATTGTTTATTTACAGCAATAGGCTGCATTATTAATCAAAATGTACATTTAATACACTTTTCAAGCTTTCTTTCATCCTCCAACAGCCCCTCAGTTTATATTTAATAAGGAAACATTTACACACTCTAATCCTGAACATTTCTTCGCAGCTCATAATTCTGACTCCACAGTCGAGGTAGCTTGTTCTAAAACACTGCTGCCTGGCAGCTCAGTGACTCTGTCAGTGATAGGAACAGATACTGTATATGACATGTGAATTAGACATGATGAAGATGAGTTTAGGTTTTGAAGATGAAGAAGACAGTGGGTTGTTCTTGTGCTAATGACGTGTTCCATTTACCACGGAGCTCAGAATTCAGAGGTGGGAATGACATCATCCCCGACTTAACTGCGTTACTGCTTCAGTTAACCATGATACCAGTCTGTGGCAGGTTAGCCATTGTTAGCAAAACCAGTGTATAACAGTGCATTATGTGGTATTTTGACGATACAAACATTGTAGCAAAGGGAAGTTGAACAGTGCTGTGTGTACAACAGTTTTAATGAGACACGAATAAGACATACTAAGTGCTAATAAAGAGTATATTACTGTATATTATATACATTTTTTTATTGCTGATGTGCGGAGCAGCCATCTTAGATTTTAAGGTCGGGGTTAATGAAGTTTTTCTGCCGTTCCAGTTGAAATTTCTGACTGGGAACTTCCCAGGTCAAATGGAAGGCACCATAAGTATCGATGGAAAGCAGTGCGTTTCACCCAAACTAACAAAGACATATTTGGGTTTGCTGAGCAAATCTGAGACAGTATTTCATTAGACAAAGTTCTTGTAAAGCTGCTCTATGTTGAGAAATGTAAATATGAATTAGACATAAATTACACACTGACTGTCCGTTAGAGAAGTTTGGCTTCTTTTGGTTAATAGAAAAAAATGATTTTCTATAAGAATGTTTTATACTCCTGTGTGATGTTTTGATGTTGATCTTAATGCTGAAATATTTGATAACCCACCCTTGTGATATAAGTAAATCTGAGTTTGTCCAAAATTCATGTCAGTAATTTAGCTGGTCTAGAAACTAGTTGTGTATTCCTGGTTGATTATTAAGTCTGATTATTTCTTTATGAATATGTTTGCATTCATATCAAACTGAAGCCAAAAGAAGACCGACTGGTGCATTGTTGGTTTCATGATGCCCTCATGTAGTGCCTGTGCAGGTAAACAAATAAACTGCGGGGAAAACATACTGAGCAATGAGTGGAGACAAGATGGAAGCATCTGTCAGTGTCAGTTCACCATCTGGGTTCAGGCCCCAGAGCTACTGCGGCGTCCTGTTTCTCCTCAAACTTCAGTCTGAGTTGATGTTAACTAAACTAAACCATGTGAAGCTTTTGCCTCTCTACTTTAAACATGAGCATGTCATGTCTAGTGCCATACGAACAAAAAACTGTCTTAACAGCATGAATAGCAGCCCACAGAGAGTTTATTTTTCAAGCTAATGGCTTTTAATGTATGTTATGAATATTTGAATTATGCCTGGTTGTAAATATTTCATGTGAGATTTTTAAGACTTTAAACATTAGTCAGAGACGGCGGGGCCTCATAAAAACCTCGTCTCCTGTACTGTTTCACAAGATATCTGCCATTTTATGTTGATGTGATGAAATTTTAAAAGTGCGTGGCAGCACCGAGTCACATAAACAGTACAGGTCATCAGCAAAGCACATGCATTGCAGAGGAAAATTAAAAATAGAATGGGGATTTTACTGAGAAAGTATCCAACTTTATGCAAACCTACAACTGTTCTTGGCAAAGTTGTCACAATATACCTTTAACTTGATTTTTATAAAAGAAACATCTTTACCCAGCAGAATAAATGATGACACTTTAGCTCTCTTAAAAAAAATGTATATTTGGACAGGATGTAGCCCAATTATTCTGCTTTGAAAGGTATTCATGGTTCATTTGGCGTTTTCATGCAAGATGCTAGTGAAGTGGAACAACAACAGGGATGAAACACTGATTGTCTCATGAATGTATAATAAACCATTTATGGCTTAACTGTCCTCGTGGCAGCAGTAAAACATGTCTTATTAGCAGATCATCGTCGTCAAGTTGTCTCATGCTCAGGCAGCACGAACGGGCCTAAGTAATTATTAAATGCTTTAAGTGCTTGGTGTAATACTTGTGTATGTATTTTGCATAGCTAAAGTGTAGCTGTCATATCAGCGAGTGAGAGGAAGGGTGAGTAAAGGCACGAGTTTTTATTTTCGAGATGATGAGTCAGTTTTGAATCTTAATACCTTAATAATGTCTGTTAAAACATGACATGATAAACAAATGAGCACCAGACGACTCAGTGTGGCTACATGACTTCATCTGATTTCATGTGACAGAACAAGGGCCTACTGATCAGAAACGATGAACCATTTGTTGTCGGGCTGTTCTCTTCTTTGTTTGTCCTTACCTGCAGATGGCAGACTGGCTGTACGCCGGCCCCTCGGCGGCGCTGAGCGCCTGGCCCACCTGAGTCTGTGTCAGGCCCAGGGACAGCCGGCGGATCTTGAACGCTTTGGCGAATTCTCGTATCTCCTCCAGGTTGACCCCGTCCACCTCACTGGGAGCAGTCTGCGGGTCTACAATACAACAAACACATCTCTTTTTATTAGCCCTGTGCTCCTCTGTCGCTTACCTCATTTTCTAGAGTGAATGAAGCAAATGTCCAGCCATATGTGATCACACCCGCCTCTAACAACTCTAAAAAATGTTGCTGCTCTGGGTCAGAACCTATTATTTCTCTTTGCCCTTGTGCTGTAAACTATGTGTATCTGAGTGACGTTTTGAAAAATAAATTCATCAGACGTGTGAATACAGGTCTGACTTGCCAGTGTAAATCTTTTATTTCATACCAAAGCATTTAGACAACCACGTGACACAGAGGTTGTTAATTCAATAAACAAATATACACATACATTCTGCAGCTGCCTCCCTTAGATAAACATTAAATGATGTATAAATACATTTTTTTCATCCCTTTGACCTGTAGCAAACACATCTCAGGCCTTTAAACCAGCAGTGAGCCTCATAAACAACAGAACACATTCGTTATACAAAGAAATGCTGCTTGTAGATCTCTGCATTTGAACAGATCTAAAAAAACTTCACCGAAGCGTTTTGAAGAATTCCTCTGCTAATAAAAGGTGATTTCACATTGTACATCAATGTCAGGTGCTCTGGCATCCTGCTTACTAAAGCAAAGTTTGTGCCTCTGAATTATTCATCTTGGTCATTATTAATGAATTATTAAAGGAATCCTCCAAGCGTATTTAAGCAAAAATCTATGAGGCTGCCATCTCCTCGTGGCTCATAAGTGACGTGCAGCGTATGTGGCGTGCTCCAGATGTGTGAACACTGGAGACTCAGAGCTAACTGAAGCGGGAGGGTGAGCACTCACAGCTTCCGGTCCCATCGTCTCCACACTGATGAGCATCTCCTCATCGTTACCAGTGGAGGTTATTTAGTTGTTTGAAATACTAATGGTACTCTGGAGCAGTGGTTCTCAGTCAGTGTAGCCCCTGGATTCATATTTTTCTTTAGACTTTAGGTCATGCATGACTCAAGATTTCAACCTCTTCTAATTTATTTGGCAGTAATGAATGGTGGAGTGAGAGAGAAACAGAACAAACACCGAGACAATCAATGTATGAGCCTCCAAGAGCTACTTTCCTTCACAGCAAAAATAAACATAATAAGCTTAGTTAGTTAGTTTACTTGTCTGTTTTGCTAAACGATTGCAGATTCATGCTTAATGCTTAGTAGGTTTTGACTTTGCTTAGTTTGGTTTGTGACTATTACTATTTGCTCATCATAAGGATTGGTCATACATACAAGCAATATCTCTCTTTTGACTTATGTGCTACACTGAGGTGCAGTACCGTACCTATACCACTGAAGACTGGCCAATCCGGCTGCCAGACCAGGTACAGGTATTAGTGTTGTAGTCCAGCCAATAAACCTCGAGTCACAAGTCCAGAGAGTCTGGACTCGAGTACAAAACAGTGGCTGGTATAAATGCATTCATGGATCTAGATCTGCACTGACATTTATTTTCTTATCCAGATACTGAATGCGTGTTATTACCGTATATGCCATTTGCCAGGGCACTTTAACCTCTTTCTAGTTCCAGTGCAGCTGCTCAGTGGAAACTAATAGAAGGTTATGATTTTACAGGTAAAACGACCACAGGCATACTCAGTTAAAATTCTCCAGACAAATAAAAGTAAAAAATAAACAAATCTTTAGTACAAAATATTGCTGACATTCATCTTTCTGACATTTTCCCATCTGATAATTTTAAATAAGAGTAACAGACGTTCTCAGCTTTTTAATCTGTTTCTGGCACTTTGTGGCCGGTGAATGCAATGACATTTCATCGTCTCTCCTCTGCGGACGACTCCGATTCTGTCATGGGAGTTTGCTTTGTGTTTGTCTGCTGTAAGGGATATTAAGAGGAAGTGGTGTGGCTCCTGCTCACCTAAAGCATTAATTTTATTTACGACAGAACTGAACCACAATGATTTTGTACAGGTTTAAAAATTGTTTATGAGGTGTTTTCACAGCTACAAGTAAACATAAACTAAACACAATGTCTACAACAAGCTGATCAGTGGTTGCTTGTTTTTTTTATTAAATTCAGCGGCATTGTAGCTGCCTTTGAAATGAGTTTACATTGAGTTTAGTGGAATTGACTCTGACAAATGAAATTTATCTGAATAAAACTGACTTTTTAAAGGCAGTAGTTGCATGCTGACAGGCTGTGGCCCAGTGATTTATAAGGCTCAGCTCAAGGCCTACGCTTTGGGATAATGAAACTTATGTTCATTATACATAACACACGCCACTTTGGATCACCTAATAAACCAAATAAATGACAAACAGGCAAAATAAAACAATTGTAAGGGCATGGGGATCAGTCAAAAGCTGTCCACCATGTTGGATCCAGCCCATGATGTTAAAGCAATAGTTCATCTAAATAACAAAAATACATTTATTCTCCTACTCATCATGGTTTCTAGCCACCCAGACAGTATGGTTGTATTTGTTGAAGTTTTGAAAAGACAGTAAATGATATTATGTCTCTGTCATAAAACAATGGAGCCTAATAATATTTCTGGTTCCTAAAGCAAAATGGCACAATGGTGCAGTGGTTTGTATGGTCACATAACGGCAGGAAGGATCTGATCTGTCTATATATTAATGAAAATTCCCTTATTTTATCAATGTACGGTCTTCAATCCTTGCTTGACCTGGAAGTCGTTCCAGTGCGCCATGATGAAGGGTGTTTATTTTTGCTCTGAGGACTGAATGCGGAGCGATGAGGCTGTATGGAGGAACTATAAACGAGGATACACAAGTGCATCCTTCACGGAAATCTGTTATGGATCCCTTTGTCAAAAATCTGTTTGTGATTGGACAATTCACATGAAGGATCAGAGGGAAGGATGTCTCATGTCAGTTAAAATGTGCTTTCTCAGTTCCTCTCCTCTTATCTTTTCTTTTTGCATTTTAGGTGAGAAGGACTAAGACACAAGAAAAACACGCAAGTGAGGGAGTCACCTCAGGTCCCCTGTGACCCTCAGGAATAAGCAGATAGAGCTAATGGGTCAATGATTGGGTACTTAAAACATCCAAAATTACATTTAAAAAACAGCAACATGTCTTTCCAGAAACCGTGTCCCTGTTACTGGATACCTCACAAAACATGGTGTCAGCATTTTGTAGAGAAATTTCTTTTACTCACTCATTTCTTTAAAATGAGTGAGTTAATTCTGATAAATTATTGTTCACGTTTATTTTTAATCGTTTACAGCAAGGTGAGTGAACTCTAAATCCTATTAGTGGTATGTAAGAAAATATATTTTTTGGTATTTAGGTGAGCAGACCCCTTACGTTTGAAAACAATAGTAGGGATATGGTTCTTTATTCCGTATATCTGAAGGCATGTTGTGTTTTTGTGAGCTGTTTTGGACACTTACTGCTGACCAGCTGCCCCACGCTGAGAGCTGAGGAAGAGGAGGAGGTGGAGGAGGAGGAAGAGCCCTGGTGGAGAGGACTCTGTCTGTGGGGCATGTGGAGTAGGCTGGGCTGAGATGATGTGGAGCCTGTCTGACCCTGCTGAGCCTGAGGCAACTGGACACGCACACACACACACACACACACACACACACACACACACACACACACACACACACACACACACACACACACACACACAGAGTTGATACAATATATCGACAGCATGCAGTACAGAAAAATATCCATTATTCCCTCGGCCCATCATCAAAATAATCACCATTTATCGTAATCATCTCATTATGGTGATTTGGCTTCAGTCTAATCAACCAATCAATTAAATTAGACACTTAAACCTGAATATAATGAGATTTACCTTGTACCTGATGATGAATAAACGCTAAATACTGCCTGAGCATTCAGACTGACAGGGCAGAATACAGTGTCAATAGCTTGCTCAAAAGACTACAGCAGGGCTTTACTATTGCAACAGACTGTGAGAGTCTGAAAAGAAGCACTGTAGCTGCTGGTTCAGCTCGGGTGCTCTACTGTCTCTATGATCTTCATAATCACTTCTCTGCAGAAGTCAACTCAGCGTAGAAAAGAAAACAGCTTGTGACAATTAGAGTCCTCGCTATCGTCATCAGGCCTGTGAAGATGCAAATAATGGCAGCTTGACTCAGAAATAAAAACATGTGGACACAGCAGTCCCCATATCAAACATAATTCATGATCCAGAAGCTAGTGCTCTGATGGCGAGAAAACAATGTATTTTCATGTTTTATGCACAATTGAATTGCTTTTACAAGATCAAGATGGTACGTCTTGGCTTTTAAAGCGAAAAGCTGTCTCTGCCATAAGCTGGGCCAGCTTCTTCTCTCCTTCTTTGCTATTAATTATTTTCGCTGTGGCATGTGTTTGTTTGGATGGTGGGGGGTGTCAACAGCGATGCACACACTGTCAGGACTGTTGACAGGCTCGGAGAATTATCTAGCTTCACTGGAAATATTCTAGAGTGCAGGCTCTGACAACCGTAAATTATGCCTACAGAACAATGTGTACATGTGGGCTTTGAAGGGGAAACAAAAGCATAAACATTATTACAAATGCATTAATTCATTCAAGAGTATGATCTGATGTTTGAGGGAGCCACAATTAGCTGTCCATCTGCTGAGTTCATTGATTCGGCACATCTGTACACGGCTTCAAACTTTTACTCTGTAATTCCGCACTGACATCGCCATTTTCAAGTCAATAACAGTTTCATTGTTGTGTACATCTGACTTCACGCTTGTGCACTGTATAGATCTTTAAAGTGGGAGGAGAAATGCTTCAGCTTGAGTTTCCATACTTACAGTATGAGTGCAAAGAAAAAAAAGTGTGTTTTGGGGTCTTCCTTTAAATGAAAACAAAATACTTCTTGTTCAGGTCAGAGAGGACAAACTATAAGTCTGGAGAGTGTGACTGAGGAGGGAAGGAGACGGAAACGGAAAGAGGTGGAGGAGTGTTTGAGTTTTAAGTGGGGTGATGAAAAGTGGGCTCTGCAGGGGCGCAGCAGTTTTCCTGAGACTGTCTGAAAGGTTGGCTGACAAGTGCCTTCCAAACATGCACAGACACACACACACACACACACACACGAACCACTGTACCTAAAATGACAATTTTCCAAGTGAAATGGTGCAAATGAGTGTTGAAGCAGGGAAAATATGATGTGTTTAGCATAAAACAGACGTCACTAGCAGTGCTGGAATACTGCTTTATATTTAATAAACAGAGTTCTAGTCTGACTCCACTAGGTGTAGCTCATTCAACAGTTTTATAATCAGCTCTTCATCACTGTCAGAGCTTCTGTTTCAGTGTATCATAAGCTGCTTTACAAGATATTCTCCTTTATCTGTGCGTGTGTTTGTGCATCAGTGTATATGTTACCTGCTGTCCAGGCTTGATTGGGGACAGCGTGATTCCCTGGGTGTTGATGACAGGCAGGATCTGATTGCCGATCACCGTGGCGATGATCTGGCCTTGAGCGTTGGTCAAAAGCTGAGGTGTAATTGGCTGTACCTGCAGTGCTGGGTTGCCACCTCCTGATTGGCTGGAGGGCCCTGCAGAGTTGGGCATCAGTGGGATTGTTCCAATTATCTACAAAGGGGGTAGAGGGGAGACAAAATCAGCTGGGCAGTTTAAAAGAGAAGGAGTAGAGAGGGCAAACGCCACCGGAGGTATCAGTCTTAATGATCTCTGCCACTGAGAATCTTTTATTTCTGCATTTTTGGAGTGCTCAGAAACATAACGCGAGGTCGGCATTTCGCTGTGTTATGAAGCTAATCACAGCACCTGGCCTTTGAGTTGGTCTGTGTGTGATTTGGACAGAGAAACATGCATAAGTGTCCACTGATCATCTGTCACTGGGGTGGTTTTACAGGCTGGATCAAGTGAAGCCAAAGCAGACTGCTGGGAGTGCCCTGCAAAGGTCAGAGCTGAATACCTGTATGTGTGATGGTGCACACCAGTGACTGTATTATCCATCATCAGGCCAAGACTGGGATGACTGTGTGTGTGTCTAAGTGTGTTTGTGCTTAAGTAGAGACCAAAGCAGAAAGGGAATGGAAAGTGGAAAGAAAGAGCAAGAAAAAAAAAACAATAAGAGGGAGAAAAGAGGCGCATCAAGAGAGTGAGACAGGACCCTGTGTTTCTAATTCAACTCTCAGGGTCCCAGGGGTACTTCAACCCCCCTCCATTGCCTGCTCTCCTCTCCTCTGTGGCTGTAATCAGGAAGGGCAGATCAAAGGGGGCGGCAGAGTGTCACTGCAGCGTTTTAGCTCTCAGAGCTGCCAGAGTGTGGCCAAGAGTGGCGCTTTTGGGGGGACTTAGCACCTCTTCACCATGATGAAGGTTAATGCCATCTGGGGACTGGTTCTGGGCAGCGTCCTGCTCCCCCCACTGCTGACAGCACTCCTTCACCAAGCCTCATTACACCAGAGAGCAACTCACCACAGATGAGACACCCATCACTGTAAATTCTGTTATTTGGCAACTGGGCAAAGAACAACTTTTTCTAAAATTGCACTGTCTTTGACTCCTCTTCTTTAAGTTTACATTTTGATCCAAGCCAACACCTTAACTCAAAGAAACACAAAACTACAAACACCTTCCACGTAACATTAACTGAGCCCTTTCTGGCTCCTATTGCAGCCACTGCTGATGTGTCTCAGGACGCGTTCCACCTCCCCCTCCTCCCTGCCCCATCTCTTTGACATAATGGGGAGGGATCAGTGACAGAAAGGTAGGCCGACAATCTGTGATTCATCCCTGCTACGGCTCATTTGCTTACGTTGCTTCGCATTAGGGGAGAGATAATTTATCTCTATCTCTCTGCGCCCGCTTTACAAATTCCCTGTAATGCTCTCCTGCCACTTAGCATATTTTATTGCCCTGCCTGATGCTCATGTCTCCTGAGTCCCACTGATCCCGCTTTGCATGCCACAGTGGCAGGGAACTTGTTCCGCTCAATTATTCATCATCATTGGACTAAGTGGTTCCTCTATAAGCATAATAAAAGAGCAGGCAACTGACAGCTCAGCTCTCGTCCCTGTTTCACTGCGCAGCGCTTCTCCTTCTGACTATCTCAGGCAGATGTTTTCATGGCAGTGTCACAGAGCTCTTCTCAGGTCAGAAGGGGACAGGTCTTTGAGTAATACAGACAGATGGAAAGACTAATGGGAAGTACTGCATTCGGCAAAGCCCATGCTTAGTGAGCAGAGGTCTTAAACATTATTAGGGCTGGATATGAAACCTCAATATTGTCTAATAATGCACAAAATCATAATCATTTTCAACAATGTGTTTGGTTGATAGAATACTTTAAATGTGCTTTTTTAAGAGATACAATCCTAATTTAGATCTCTGTGATGTAAAAACCATGACTTTGTGTGATTTGTGAGCGACTGTGTGAACGACAGCTGAAATATGGATTTCACGTTTGACACGAAGCTCATAACATGTCATTCTACTGCTGACATACATCAAATTTTGCAATTAATTTGTAACATTTTTATTGATATCAAGGACGCTGCTCTGTTTTGAGTGTGGGCTTCCAAACCTGAAGTGCTTCCAATCAGCCAGCACAAAATCTACTTACTGTAGCCTATACATAGTCTGAATTTGAAACTTGATGGAGACAAAAAATCATTTCAGTGTCAAAGTACCTGACTGTGTTTTTTAAAGATACACTTTAATTACAGTTCATGACCCTTTAATGAATTAAACAGCCTTGAGGACCTTCTCTCATTCACTGTTAGCCCCTCACTTCAGCTATTTTCCTGTTTCACTCCAGTTTGTATGGCATGTGAGTAACATGCCTTTCTCCCCCCCAGCAGAACTCATTAAGATTATTCTGCTTTTGTTTCCACAGAAATGTCATCTCATCTCTCCAGCTAGGGCAATCTGTGTCTTTAGCCATGGTCACCAGGCAATATCTCTGCCCATTTTCTCTTCTCTACTGTTCATGTGGTGAATTCAAGAGGGAAAATGTTTGAGAAGTTTGGACTCGTGTCAATACACACGTCCAAAAAAGCTACTGTTCAAAGCAAATCAAATTAGTTATTTAACAGGAATTATCAACCACATTCATCCACAACAACCTGGATTATGGATTATGTATCAAAAATGCCCAACATCACCTTGTTGCAACACCTCAAACATGAGGATTTGTTGCTTTTCTGAGTGTTAGTTGGACAAAACAGGCAACCTGGGAAGTTGTAGGAAACTGACAGATAGATTGATAAAGAAAATAATCAACAGTTGCAGCTCTACAAAAGATTTACAACTACAAGGTCAAAAGTATTTCACACTGTGGTTGCAGCTGAAGGCCTGGAACCTCCCCCACCAATACACGGGGCGCGCTTGGGTTGTGAATCTGCTTCACCTGCTTTAAAGCTTAACTTATTTTGCAGGTTAGCAGTGTATGTGCTCCTTACCTGTTATTCTGTGCGTTAGTGGCAGCGCAACGTGCCCAGAGGGTGACAGGCCTCACTAAAGGCCGGTAATGCTGGAAATAAAAAGGATGGATGGCACAGTGGGAGGAGGGGGTTTTCATACAGTACATGAGCTGAAGCAGGGTTAACCAAACTGGGACCACTTCAGCGGTGTCAACACCTTTCAGAACGTATGGTACACTACATAAAAAACCCTTAATGTTTCCATTTTCCACCTCAGTTTTTACTCATTAAGCTGTGGGGAAAGTGAGAATTTCTACTGAATAGAAGATATCCACAAAAATGCCACAGATACAAAAAGTAAAAAAAATCAGAAGTGAGAGTGTCTTAACAATATTCTGGCTTTTGTGCACTCCCTTAATCACTGTTGTAGAGGCAGAGAGGATAAAAGAGCCTCATTGATTCTCCTTGGAGAATAAAAAAACAATTAAGGTTTAGAAACATATTGAACTTCAGACATCCATCCAAACTGGCACTTTTCAAGGTTCCCAGAGCCCTTGCATATGAAAAGGTCTTTTGAGTTGTAGAGGAAATTAGGAGTTCAAAAACAGTATGCTGCATTTTAAGTTCAGGGAAAGGTGACATTTTACTCATAGAGTACAAAAATGATAGATTGTTCTTTAAATTCCAAATGAACACTACCCTGAATGAATAAAAGTAAACAGTGAATCTAGTAAAAACTGCTCCTGTTTTTTTAGATTGTCCACACTGACATAAATTTGTTGGCCCTCCATCCCTGTTTGAGGTATGTATTAGCCTGTATAATCTCCTCAGTGGTGGTGAGGAGGAGGGCGGGACCTTCTGATAGGGTTGTACATGTTTCAGAGCCCTCTGTCTGAATAATGCTGTGGAATAATGAGGTGGGGAGCAAAGGATGTAGCCCAGGGCTTTGACCATCTTTGTGACCTGATTATGTCAGGGCGTGTCAGCCACCAAGACACTACAAAAGCACAGAGCATCCCATCAAGTCCACATCCAGTGATCTGTCCCCATTGCTCCAGGCACCGTGCGAGCCAGGGAAGTCCATACTGTCTCATTAGCAACATTTAGCATCGAGCACTCACAACACTTTACTATAAACAGTGAAGCACGATCATGCTGGTGGTGCTGAAACCTAACTTTGGTAGGCTAAATGTCAAGTGCAACACTTCTTGTGTGTGGCCAGAAAAGTTGATTTTGATTCTGAAAAGTAGCAGTTTAGTGCTAAGGAATTAACAGCTACTGCTTCGGGTTTCACCATATTTTTAACTTTTCCCTGTGAGGACAGTGCAAGTGTTAAAAGATGAGATGGAGGTTAAGGTAAATAACACAGAGTGGCATGAAAGGGCACATTGTCCATACAATTTTCCTTTAATATGTGCTCTGTGCAACAGCGATAAGATGATTCATTAGATAGAGCCCCACAATGACAAGCATCATCGTTCAACCCTCTGGCTACTGATGGAACAATTCTGCAGCCACCCTGTAAATATGACAAGGTCAGCGTTTTACTGCGACAGGCGTATGCGGATAAGAGAAAGAAGGCTCTTTTTATTCCCCAAAAGCTTAATATATGTTGGGGTCCCTACTAGACTGTAGACAAACAGCTTTAAGAGCCACCACTAGAAATCTATGAGGAAAGATCAGAAATACTATGAAAATGTTTTATATGGAACTGCACTGCACATTCCTGCATGATAGATGGTCCAGAACTCTATTTTACAGACCAGTTACAAATGCTCTTCTCTGCATCTCTCTGTAGTATTTAATTAGCTCCATGTACACCTGAGACTTTTAGCATGTTAGTGTCCTGTATGCAGGACTCACCTGTCCTTGTGCATTGGTGACCAACTGCCCGGTGGCTCCTTGCAGGTTTGAGAGGGTGCTGCCAAACACCTGAGAACTGGCGATGGATCCCATGGCTGCTGCTGCTGCTACTGCTGCCTGGCTGGCCAGAGGATTCAGCTAAAAAGGGAAAAGAAATCATTCATCGCAACTGCATCTGTTAAAGTCACCAGTATAATGGTAATTCCTAAAAAAAGCTGCTTCAGGAGAGCTTGCTGTGGGGGGGCTTCACACTTCTGCTCTTTGTTGTCACGGCCAGAATAGGTTAACTGCGGTGGGGTCTGTATAGTCCAGTAGTGAGGACTATGCAGTCCATCATACGTTTCCCAGAGGTCTGTGCACCTGAGCCCAGTGGGAAACCTGAGGGTAGGGAGGAGCAGTGAAAATGGGAGGGCAGCGGTGAATAAGTGGCCATTTTACCACTCTAAGTGCTTCTTCAGGCCCCCGGGGCGAGTCTCTCTACCCGCAGCAGTGGCCCAACAGCATCCTGCTCTCACAATAGAACTGGGCAGTGTGGCCATGCATCACTGTATCGTCAACTGCTTCAATACGCTTCGACTAAGAATTCCTCCTGCATCGTAAAGCACCTAGCACACTGTTACTTTTGAAGGAGAGGAGGGTTACAATGACCATCTTTATCCCAGATGTAATGGACTCATCTGGTTTGGCCTGTGGTTGTGAAAAGAGGCTCCTCGCATCACAGAGACGCTGTAGCACCCTGCCACATCACGAAGATTACCCATATAAATCAAGCTAACCACTTATTACGGGCCTGAAAAATGCACTGCTGATTCGGTTGTAGTGCAGCAGAGCAAAGTCTTATTAAGCTGAGTAAGTAGATCAAAGACCAAGAAGAGATAGGAGACCTACCAATTACTCAGCAGAATAGAGAAATAATAAAAACACTGCTTAGAAGCAGGTTCCCTGCTGCTAATAGAGTTTGGTCACATATTCAAACAAGACTGCTGACAGTAAGGTTTATATTAAAGGATTGCAGGTGTTTTATAAATCATTAAGTTTATGTAAAATAAAAGGTGCCGTAGCAGAAATTCTTTTACTGAAACATCAACTTTTCTACGCTTTCTGGACTCAGCAGGGAATTCGGCTTTGTTCATCTGAGATCATTCAGTTGCTATTCATCTTTTATCTTACTCCACGGCCATATTATTACACGTTCTGAAATCAAATGATGAAAAAATGCCACCGAGCGATCAATACTTTTTCATTGACAGTAAAGGTTAAGCACATTAAGAATGACACTGCATTTGTCTTATGAAATCATATTTCATGTTGGTGGCCTCAAATTGGCCGTGATTGATATTGCCTCCACTCGTCTGAAAGTCATCCAGTTTTTCCTCGATAATCGCAAGATTGTCTTTTATGTGTCCAGCGGTCATCCTTTGGAAAACTTAACATCTCAAATGTAGAAAAAGCAGAAGAACAAAACAGCCACAATACAACATTAAACAACATTTCTTTACACATCTCTTAAACTCTGAGGAAATCAATGCATGTTTATTATCCGGCACAAAATATATACCCTAAACATGTCATTTCGTGTAATATTTGTTCATGTTTGATCTAAATCAGAGTGGATGCACTTTAATTAAGGGCAAGTTAGTATTGACTGAAAAATCAGCTTCAGATTTGACTTTGCCCAACAATGCATCAACATTACCAAGCTGTCTTTTACTGAAATATATTAAGTTATTAAGCTATTATGTAGCTCATACTACAATACACACTCACTGGCCACTTTATTAGATACACCTGTACAACTGTATGCCCTTCAATGCAACACTTCTGCCTTAACATCTGTGTTAGGCATGCTCAGAAGGTAGTGTTGTACTAGATTGCATTATATTCAGAGGTGTTCCTAATATTCTACTCTCATGTAGCTGGGGAGGACAAACATAAAGGAAATACCACCTTTAACTAAATTCAATATTAATCATATAATTAAATTTATACATTTATAACAATTTCACCAAAAACTGAAACAGTTGAGCTTCATAAACAGATGTTAAGGCAGAAGTGTTGCACTGAGTTGCATACGATTGTACAGGTGTCCCTAATAAAGTGGCCAGTGAGTGTACAGTGCAGTGCAAGATAAACTTTTAACTTTCATTAGACCTGGGTAATAACACAGTAGTGCTGTGTGTCCATTTTTAGAAAAAATCAAAATATGATGCTCTGATCTTCTCAAGTTATCTGATTTCTGTTGTCCAAACCACTCATTCCATTGATTGTAGTGAAATTCACTATTTTAACATAATTTTGATTATTTTACATTAAGATATTCAGCTTTCAGTTTGAGTTAGGGCTGAGTGAGACTAGTGAAATCTTGATTATGGTATTAATGTAATAAATAAACAAATAAATGAATACACATACAAATGGCAATATGTATTAATATTTCTGTTTTGAAAAACTACAAATTAAAATGATTTAAAAAGCAGCAGCAACATCACTACGTGGTCATTGAAATATGTTTTGAATTGGAAGATATGTGGTAAAAATTGCTATAAAGGCCAAGAAGGATTTGACCAGCATATGCAATCACTGAACTGGGTACCCTTTACATTGTAATTCACATTAACACCATTATTTTCAAAAACCTGAAATAAGACATGGGTGAAAGAGAGAGAGGTACTCTCTTGAAGACAGTGGATAATTTTTCCTTCATCCCTTCAATCCAGACCAACTAAAACCAGGTGAAAGAGGTTGTGAATATAAAAATATTGACATAAGGACCCTAAGCCATGTTGGTGAAAACACCATTTTAGGGGTGTTGTGATAGTGAATGGGCACAGAGAGAAAAGCCAACATGGCCAGTTAAACAGAGTTAAAGAGAGGCTGCACATCAACTCACAGATAATGTGATCTGCTCAGGCGAGCATACCCAGAGTCTCCCTGAAAATATGATGTGCTTTGTGTCATTGTGTGAGTGATAGGTTGTTGGAGAAGCTTTCAGATTTATTTGAAATATTATCATTGTGTGTCATTCAATGATAACCCGTTATTCTGGTAAATCTGGGTGAAAAAGAACAGGTTTTATTGCTGCATCTCCTGGCACTGGGTAATATGGATAGCAGTTGGAAGGAGAGCCAGGAATAAGGAGAGGCGAGGCTGTGTTCAACACCTAAACAGGTGATTTTCCGCCACGGTGACTCCTCTCAACACCTCGACGGGAGGCACAAAATGACAGACCTGGCCTGGTATTTGTACTGATTGCATGTGTTGGAGGAGATAAACAGTGATCTTCCAGTTTGCAGAGCCTGCATGTTAACCATTGTGCTTCACTCTTTTCATTCACCATGAAAAGGGCATCGAGAGGATTTTCAGTACAAGTGTTTATGATATCAGAAATAATAAAATAAACTCAAGTCAGTGTATTTGTTTGAGATTTTAAAGATGAATTTAATTCAGTAATGTGACTTTCTGTTATTACAGGCCCAGCGAGATGTGGATGTGATTAAAGCAGCCACGGGTGAACAGAAAATACAAACCAAGGAAACAAGGGATGATGTCTACAAAACTTGTGAGAGTCTAATAGCCATAATGGATAAAATGGAGCATTTGGAAGTACAGTCCAAGCGAAAAAACCTGATCTTCGAGGGAATCAAGGAGTCAGCTGGAGAAAGCTGGACGGATGCGGAATGTAAGGTGAAGGAAATATTAAAGGATAAACTGCAAATTCATCAAGAAATTGAGATGGAGCGGGCTCACAGAGT